TCACATCCAGGCAGTCGTCGCTCAGCTGGGCTTATCACGCAGCGTCTGGTGTAGTTCATCATCAGTCGAGACGTCAGTCGGTTGACCCGCACATGTCTTCACCGCCAACAATCGAAGGTCCAACTATACGTAACCGCGCCTATTGGCCGTTTCCTACTAGTTGGCTCTAACCTCGCCCGTATCCACATGGATATCATCAGCCCGCTTCCAACCTCCAACGGTATGGTCTACCGGCTGATAAGCATCGACTGTTTTACCAGATAGTAGCAGCAGCTCTGCTGCTGAAGCTATACAGAAAACATCGTTCGAGTATTCATGAGTCGTTGGATCTCTCTGTATGGTTGTTCAGCAGCGCACAAAATAGACGGAGGACCACAGTTCCAAGAGACGTTGAAAGTTTTGGGGTACCAACATTCCCCTACCATCCACAATCGAACTGCATGGTAAAACGTTTCCACCGTTAGCCTCACAACAGTGGATCCTATTCAATGCATTGCTTAACCTCATGGTAGGTATACACGAGAGACTATAAATGCAAGTACTTAGTGCCGAACTTTTATTAAGTCAAGCACTGCGCTTACAAGGATACCATTTCTCTGTCATCTCAGAATCTATCACCAATGATACTTATTCTGTAAAATGGCTGGTGTCACGCATGCATCTTTTCGCGCCTACAGACACCCGATTGCAAAGTGAGAAAATGTTTGCGTCACCGGAGCTGCAGAATTCTACGCACATTTTCGTACGAGCTGATGGGATCAAACGATCCCTGGATCCAACATATGAGACCTACGATGGAATGAAAAAGTACTTGTCGTCGGTCGAAACGGAAAAGGAGAATCCGTGTCCATAGTCGTTTAAAAGTGTCCCATATCTACGTAGACAATGTATGTTCCATCGATAACGACGTCCAGTCCTAGCAGTTCAGGGACGTCTGTTGAGTCCTCTACCAGATCGTCCAATGCACCAAGAACGACTAAGTCAGACCGACTTCTGTATTGGCCTCGTAGATTTGTCCATACAGTGCATTATTCCACTTGAATCCTTATTACCGTTTTTGAAAATAAAGAGTGGCACATGTTTTGAACAACAAAAATATAAGCGTTTCACAAACCGCAAAAGTCTCGTAGGTTATTTCGATTCGATCACCCATTCGTGCCATGTGCTTTTGTCAACATGGTTTTCCATTCACTTTTCATGTACGTGGTATAAAATCGGTTGCACGTACACGATGGAGTCCAACATCACGACATGCTCCACAAAGATTCCCTGTCGAACTGCTTTTCCAAACATTTTTCTGTTTCGATACCGTAGGGAGGAGACACGGGTGAGAGGCCGCTAGAATTCGTTCGCAAAAGTGCTCCCACAGCAGCTGCACCGGGCACCGTTCGCACTAGACGCTACGGGTCGGTATGAAGGCCTGCACTCACAGAACACTGGTTGGCGACGGACAGTCCTCACGTAGATCGAAGGACTGCATACACAGCCCCATCTGCGGAAGAGCTATGTAGCGGTCTGGAGATTTACCCGGTTTGTCTGAGTATGTTGTGTAAAATCCCGAATATGTTTATCTGATCCATTATAAGCACACACGCACAGCGCCAAGATTGGGCTCGCCACGCCGCTCAATCGCGCGGTACCCAGACATCTTTCCGTAGCTAGCACAGGCCGTAACGGTGTCGCATTTCTAGCCACTACACGGACGAAACAATTGCACACCTTATCACTGGAAATTAGTACGTCACTTCCGTGACCTCTCCACACCTAGTAGGAACGGTATTTCCCAGTAGCCAGACGGACACGTTAAGTCTATTAGTGTGAGCCAAGCAGTCTCACTAAAATGGTATTACAAATACAGAAAGCCAGTAACTTGTTGTCTTATTCTGTGATCTTGGACGAGTGTACTGATCTCGTGAGTACGTCACAACATCTCGCGTTCATTTGTGGTGTCAATTCGAACTACCAGATGAGTGAAATTAAGTCAAAATAGGTTTTATGTACCCGGATAATTACACCCTTAAAATTCCACATCACTGCGAATGGAGAAATATATGGAGTGATTGCAGAAAAAAGAATGTGTCTGATGCAAAAGGTGCAAGCGTATCACTCAAGCATAAAAACGCATTGTTGTGCCACCTCCAAACGGTTCCACCCCGCATGGTAATGAGAACGCCAAAGACCAGCCGCACCGAGAGTTATAATGCGTTGGAACACAGCGATATAAATAGCATGAAGCTAAGCTACTAAACACGTCATAACCAATAATAATATTGAAGATGCTGATTACTATCAAGTAACACTATTCAATCCGGTTCAGTTCTGCCAAACTTTGCTGTTTTACTCCACATAGATCAGCATTCAACCTCTCATTGAGTGCAATATCCTAAGGGTCGATCGATCCGTGATTCACTCGCATCGTATCGTTAACACGCATCATAACGATGATTTTCCGTGAGTCAACAAATAATGGTGATTGACATGGTAAAACAGAATTGTGATAAGATGCTATACGAGAAAATAAGATTCCAAATTTAGAGCTTAAAGAGCAAACAGCTAAGGTTTTGATAGATCGCCATGTATGAGTGGAAAGTTGTTAAGAATTTTATGGTAAAACTGGTACAAGCGGGTAAATGCACACTGACAATAAAACCATTGAGGACCTCTCTAGACAATCCACTGCACCTGGAAATAATTCCAACCTCCATACAATCAGTGTGCAGTCTCTTTGAATTAGCCGGGAGAAACTACAGGAGCCAGTGAAGAAGAGGGTATGCAAATCAGGAGATATCGAAAGCATTTTAAGTCTGAGTGCGTAAAAAGATAGCCTAATAGTTTTGTGAAACGGTCCGGAGACGTGAGTAGACCAATGTAGGTTTTGAGACAAATAGACCCTCACCTAATTGAGTTGACGTTCTTGGTGTGAGTTGGTCACGTAGGGGAAGTAATGGCATACAAAAACAGCTTGCAGGTTAAGCGGCCCGTGCTCAGTAAATATCCAGTTCATTGTGAAAAACACTGGTAACTCCTAGTCTTGGGTAAAGTGCAGCAGCCTAATGTCACGGAATACGACACGGAGAGACAAATCACTAGTTAATCGGGTGAAAAGCAAAAGTCATAACAGGGAGTTTCTGCCAGTATCTTGAATTACACAATGAAAATACCTTGGTAGGCGCGCGAATTTCGTATCGACTCATCAGTAGCAATACAATAGTGAATGATATACATCACGTCCAAAGGGTGTTAACAAAGCAGACACATGTGGTGAGGTGACCAGCGGTGATGACCATAGGCAACCGAAGTTCCACAACTAGCTGTTTTTGCACACATAAAGTGAATCTTAGCTGGCTTATCGCCACGGTCTCGGCGATCCGCAAGAGGCCTGAATCAGAGTGACGTAATAGTCTGAAATGTCGACCGGGGTTAATCCAAGGATTGAGCACCAAGTGACGACGCCGGGAGTTTAGATGAGCACGGAATATTGAGCGAGTTGGTTGACCTCACGTTGAACCTAATTGATAAGGGTTCCTACCCTCTGGAAACCAAAATCCTGTCAGTTTTGCCAAGTAACTGACTTTGCAGTTACCCTTAAATGGCTAACCACATTTTGAATCAGTGCCGATTTGTACCTATTCCATTACTGAACGTAGCGATAATATCATTTCCGCCCCCGCGGCGCAGTAGGTTTCATAAATGGCAGATGATAAGAGCTTGTTTGCCCTCCTTGTGGTTGAGTTATTCTTAAACGGGAACTCCAGGGGCATCTTCTTCTCGTGTACTGCCAACACCGTTTCCTTTGGCGGTCTGACATTGCTGTGCTTCTCGTTGAAGCGTCTAGGGTTACCGTTTTTCATAAGCATCCTTGTAATAATCTCCTTCTCCTAGGCCAAACAATCGCTAGAGGAAATATAACTGGCACCAGTACTTTCAACTCCACGGACAATCCCTTTAAATAAGGCGTTGCCTCTTCACTGGAACATCGCTCTTACTTTATCTGTTGCGGCTTTATCAGCTTTTACTGAGCCTTTTGAGATTTGCTTCAGTTAGACTAGTTACAAGGCTGTCTTACGCAGATTTTTGAAAATAGATGCTAAAAATAAGATGCTGCGTCGTTATTAGAAGACGTTTGGTAAATGAAGGAATATTCGTCCTGATCGATAAACAGGACTTCGACACTGTTCCGTCAACAAGAAGCAGCTTTGGGATCGTTTATTCCGGCGACGCTTGCACTCCTAATGCCAATTTTCCGGGGGCGCAATTTGTAATTTTCCTAATGTTGTTTTAGAACATCCGCAGTGTACATCGCAAAATGTTGAAAATGTACCCAAGCGGGTACTTGATTTGAACAAAGTTCTCAATAGTACACACTTGTGATCTATCAGTGTGAAACTGGTAAAGTGCAGGTTTTGTCCAGACCATGTCGGCCGACATGAAAGTTGCATGGGACCTATCCATGAGCGCAGTAGTAACCTTAGTGGCTTGAGGACCAGAGGGGACCCAGTAAGCAAATCGGTTACTATCAAGGGAGTTCGCTCATAGGAAATATACCTCATGGCTGTACCCCGCTGCAACCTTGGATTAGCGGTGTATGAAGTCGCTTACTCGGGGCCAGCCAATAACAGTGAACGACCTTCACGATGATCCAGTGACAGTGAATGATAGGATTAAGCAATTTATAGCAACAAGAAATCACTCGGCAACGTCTCAAGCTAGAGAAGAGAACCGGAGCCATTTTACCGTAGATGAATGCTGTGCCTTGCTGACCGTTAGTAAAGCTTGTTTTCTTTTGATTCGGGGTTGGTTGGGCTAGGGTCCGTGAAATTCGCGTTGTATCAACTGCACTACCGGCAGCAATACAATGGTTGTCCACTTCCAATCCCTGCTGGTGATCCTAAGAACTGGTGGTGTGTTAGACCAGTGTTACCACGATGTTTTACATAATGAATGTGTGTGAAGCCAATGCCAAGGCTGCGTCCTGCACCAGCGTGTTGTAAAAGACATGATGACGATGAGCGGTAAATACTGAGTACAAAACTCAAGCACATGAGAAGAGTGAAATTTATGCATAATACAGTGCCCGTCGGTGGCATGCAGTGAGGAAGTTGTCAAAAACAGGAGACAATCTCAACCTTTGGCACCACTGAAAGAAGGCTGTGAAGGGAAAGTTAAATGGCTCCGATGCATAGCTGAATGTGCGTTGGTAACATATGTGGGTTATGGGTAGGTGTATGCACATGGGATTACGATGGGAGGCTGGCAGTTGTCGATAAGGGGACTGCGCTGTTTGCAAACGACGGCTACTACGATGCCGTGACTGGAGATGAGCGAGTTCCCAGAATGCCAAGGGGAGCAGTGCTATCACGTTCGCTACGTTCGACAGAAAGCTGGCGCAATTCCTCCACCGTGTGGGCAAACAATGACCAATCGTCCGCATGCGGAGTCACCATGCTCTGAACAGAATGCGATTGACAAGAATAGCGAGGTTAAATGAAGCGTAAGCACACGAATGGGAGTACCAGCTTCATGTACACAAGTATGGAACAAATCACAACAGTTGGGCTCCACGTGACACCATTCTTTTACATAGTGATTAAGGAGAAAGTTAAGCACTGCAAACATCGGCCAGTGAGTATGTGAATCGGAAGAGGTACACTTGAACACATTTCCATACCATCGATGTTCGTCTTACTCGAAATCAGAGGAAGAGTTAGATGTATTCTACTGGTAAAACATATGACAGCTATCAGGACAAGACTAGGTCGGTCAGTCGGCAAGGAAGTGCGTGTGGTGAATGTAGCACGAATCTACACCCCCCGGAGAATATGCGCCTCTTGAATTTCATGGGTAATCGCCACAGGTCCGGACTGGACAATCGCAACACATACAAAATAGTGCCGGACAGCCAGTTCGCCTCTTTTGGGATGTGCATTGAGCTCGAACGATTGAGGCCGAGATACACATAGGTACGTCCAGCTTAAACAGAGCAAGTCGATGTGCCGCAGACTGAGTACGAGCAACGTAGCACAGATGCTGTAATGAACTAATTGTGGAAGGTTTCGTCGACAATGTCGGCAGTTCAAAATCGCACCATGCAGTAGCTTTGGTTATTGGTGGAAAAAAACCCGACATTCATTTGTATCAGGTAAGGCATCAGCAGTACGCCGATACGTAGTACCGACGCTTCACTGCCGCGAAACAATCGCCAGTCGCACGTGGGCGAGGATCCCTATGCAGGCTGGAACCCGCGCGCTCGGATTACAAGGCAGGCTTTTGATCCTTAAGAATACCGGCCGGTACGATCCAAAGGATTGAACTGACGGAAACTGTATGCCACCGTTCATCCACACAAGGACTACTACTTAATACACAAATCTAACAATGAGGCGTAATAGTTGTGACAAGCGGTGGTGGTATAAGAGTGAAACCATCAGCAGGCATTGCCTACGTCCTGTGTTCGATTCCCGGTTAGACCATCTCTACTTGAAGAGTGCAAACACACATGAAACTGGCCATGGGGTGCAAAGCTAGGAGCGAGTGACACGAACCAGTTGCTTGTAAAACGGTGTCAAAATAGAAGCAAATTGGCAATGCATCCAGAACATCTATCTGCGGTCGGACTTAAATGCCCATATGATGGCGGGGTAATAGCTCCACACCGGTCACAGTGCATAGATGTTTTGAATAAACAGACCTGGTATGAGAAAAGCACCGTGGTGCAAGGTGGGGGAACAAATAGCTACAAGTTCATGCAACAGCAACAAGGAGCTGGCGTATGCTCTGATCAAAATTAACTGCAGCCATAACGCATGGTGTGAGTAAAATTCGGTGCTCCAACGAGCACCGTTGGTGTGGCCAAAGGATTGTCAGATACAGAAAGTGGGTGCACAATATACAAAGGGAAGCAACACTGACCTCATTGAGCTCGTAAACGTGGATGCGTCCAGCTCGATCACCCGCAGCGATGTGCAAGCCAGAGGAATGGAACCGACACTTGTTCACAGCAAATTGACTGACCACGACTCGGGCCGCTGGAACCTGGATGATGGCACAACGCATAAGGATGTAGAGTAGTAAGGGGCGCAAAGGCGAGGTTAACTTGGCAAGCGCGTCAAAATGAGCGTGCGTCGTGACAAAACCGAAGGAATCTGAAATCCATAGTAAATACTCAAAAGAACAGGCATGCAATTAAAATTTCATGCAGGAAGTTTGGTGGGTGAACACTCCACTAAGTGAAAAGAAACGGTTAGCGGATCAATGAGAGGGACTAGTTCGAAAAAGGACACAAAACCAGACAAATGAGGCACCGGTCAAATCTAGCTGACACGGCAATCACGGAACGACAGACAATCGAACGCTCGTGTCTGACACATTGTGCAGCAAACTGTCGGGACAATTAACAATAAAAATACACGCGCCACTCTGGGGATTAAGACCAGCAGGACCAGGCGGGGCCACATTGATAGCCCAAACGGAACTAGAGCTGACCGATCTTGGGTAAGTGAGGAAATCCACGGTGGACGAACAGAGTCGGTGAAATTACCGCTGCTGCTAATTGCAAAAGTATGGCGTTGGCAAAGCGACGATTAAAATTTTGTTCCAACTACATACATACACTGGTCAATAAATGAAAGAACAGCTGTTGGTAAACGAGGCATGATTGTCGGAATGAAGCAACCGAGGAATGAAACTAAAGTTTTAGTATGATGTCACAAGACGAATGTTAAACGGCAAAAAGCTTGCAATGCGGACCAAGAGGTGAGATGGAGGAGCACCAACCCGAAGGAAATCAAACGACTTTCAATCGCGGTCATGCGAACTTAAAGGTCTATTTGGAATGAGCAAAAGGTAGTCCTCAGGAATATTATTTAAAGGAGAACGTTCACTTAGAATCCATAGATGTGTACAAAAAACGTTGGCGACCGATTCGGACTAATTTCATGCCGCTTCTCAAGTGACGGGTGAAGGTGTTAATTTCAGACGTACACAAACGATTTCAACGAGCGCAGCTTACATTCGTGGAGCCTCGAGAGCGGTAGTAAATACAGCGAGTAAAATCGAAGTGAAGACAACCCATGAGATGAAAAGCATGAAACACATGTAGCGGGGACAACAAACCGCCTTCGCAGTTGTAAATGTGGACACGATGTTACATCTAAGTAGTCCATCGTTGTAGAGCGTTATCTCGGGCTATCGATTTAAGAAATGTTATCCGTATTCCTATCCGTCGCCAAAGAGTGGGGGCAATAATGGAGACTAATGAGAAATCAGGAAAATAATCTCAGCGGGGCACGCATTCGCATGGATTGTACCAATAAAAAGGAACTAAGGTGAAAGAGAAACCGACACAAGCAACATTTGGCATACAATGGTCCGGAGGAACTCAGCACACTGTCCGAGAGCACATGTGTGGCTGACCATTTCTATATAAAACAACGCGCAGCAACAGAATTTTCCGGTGAAAAAGAGAGTGGAGAAATAAAAGGGGTCAGCTAGCAATGTGTTAACATCTTCCGCATAACAAGTCATATAATAGGCCACCAGCAATTGTGATAGTGAACAGCAAATGTATGGACGAGGACATATCAGTAAGGATGGAATGGACTACAAGAAGGATGGGAGAGTATAGAAAGCTGCGGTTGTGAAATTAAGATACACGCACGTCCATAAGTGGATTCATGAGTTTGGAGTGCGAACAGAAAAAGCAACAGCAAATCGGAACATCACGTCGTCGTCGCGTTAAACAGAGGAGTAGCTTGCTGAAAGTTACAGTGGAGGCTGTACCGACCCTTCGCTGCTACGCAACCGCATGCAGTCGCGTATGCGCTAACGGCATTACGAAGATGCTCACGCCTATGCAGGCTCGAACCGATGACTTGTAGCTAACAAGCCAGACAACGAAGTCGGCAACCGGACGTAGGGGGTCAAAGCTGGGAAGCGAACACCGTGGCTGCCATTGTTGGTCGAAGCATTATTAATTGCGCAAACAATAAAACTGGAGCAAAAATAATGCAGACTCAAAGCGGCCGAAATGCACAACAGTGAAAAGTCTAGACTACATTCAGTTGGTCGGAAACACATCAGCCACAGCTGGCGAACTTGGTAAGAGGTGAGCATATTACGAAAAAGGATGGCAAGAACGTCGACAAAATGTGATGATTACGTGTAGGAAATAAAACCCATGTACTGTATAAATCGCCATGTTTATCACAAAACAGTTGTCGCCATACGTCACAAATTTGGCGAAAGGATAAAGTTAAGAGAAAAACGTCGCGGTAGAAATGATTGGGAATCGAGTAGAAAAGCACAGGGTGTAGCAGTGACAAAAAACTGCGAAATAAGGAGTCGTTCTGATGGTGGCACGCCTGAATAGCAAGTACGATAATTTGTGTCAACCGATGTACTCACTTCGGAATCCTCGGTCAAATTCCATAGATCCAACTTTCCTGAACAGTCGACCACAGAGAACATGGCCGGATGCAATGGCGACCAGTCTGCGTCTAGTACTATGTCAGATGTCTCATCAAATGAGTAGATCGGTCTTTGACTTTTGGTGGACCACAACTTCACCGTCCAGTCGAATGAAGTGGTGACGAAAAGAGAGGAGAAATCAACAGGCCCATCAGTTGTGTGTGTTTTGACCGAAGTAATCGGGGCTTGGTGGCCCTCCATGGAGTCAATGACTCCAGTTTGGCTGAAACGGAAAGCGGTGGGACAAGTTAAGTGTAAGTGCATCGAAGCCATTTCATCATTGAGAGGGGATGAAGTCCGTGACCTGAATATAGAGGCGTGGGTATAGATACGTAGAGATAGTCAATTCCTAACACCAACCGAATGTCTGTCTCCAAGTTTGCTATGTGTTAAAAGAGCTGCCAACGTCTGGTGCAAACATCGGTAAAAAAGCGAGAGGGTGTGGTGACATAACTGTATTAATAACTGCATTACCAGGTAAATGAAAGTAGGTTCTATTTAGCCGAGTGGCGCATTTTCAACATTCAAACTGTTTCTGTGGATGCAAAGAATGATGAGATCAATCAAAGATATGATGTGGATGCTCTATGCATAGGTTCCACTTCCATTCGCGATCGAGGTCTTGATCAGAGCTCCGGAATGTTACAGAATTTTAGCCTAAAGGTTCTACTACGTGAGTGCACGGTCCTCATGGATTATGCTGACGAGATCGCTTTACCAGGAGCACGAAGCATTTGCCGATAAAGGAAACCAGGTACGGTGTGTGCCTTGCCTTTTCAAAATGCAAAGTCTTGCTCCAAAATCGGTCCACATCTATACCTTTGATCACTCTTGAAGGTAAATCATTAGAACAAGTAAATCGAAATGTCTATTTTGAGAGTTGTGCCCCCTCCAGCTGGTGACACCTTTGGGAGGTAGATATTTCATCACATCGCCAAGGCCCTATGAGCGGCGCTTAATAGTTTGGGATTATTGTGGCATCATCTGTACGTCTCGTGCTGTCTGTAAAAAAGGTCAGGTTCACAACACCATTCGAGTAGTGTTACGGAAGCGGGTCTAGCATGACTTACATCCGCTTTTCGATAGCTCACAGGTGGTGGGAACACAGAGAGATGGCAGCGGTGAATGAACACGTTTTTTTCGGAGCAACAGCACACATTTCAACAAGCTGACTTTGCTGCGCCAAATGAAGTGGATCGGTCACGTCCCGCGCATGTCATCTGCTACCATGTCATATACTCTCATGAGGGATTGTATTGGAAGATTTCCCATGGTAGTCAGCCTCTACATTGGTGGCAGCACAAGAAATCGTTAATTTTACGTCCATCCAGTGTTGGATTCATGGTTATTTCTGGCTGGGAACCGGATGAAGCTGACAGCCAATATTTCTAAAAGCCTGAGGATAAAGCACACAGTTGAAATCAATGAAAGATGTGGGTGCATCGTTTACCACAATCCATCGCCAGGATCCAAAAGTGTGGACTCAAAAACAGTGCTTGTATGCTGCGATCAAGTTTAGTTGGTGCCGATAATCGCACCAGTTGACTCACGAATACAACTTGCGCGTGATTTCGCGGGTTAGAGACCCAAAGGGATCGTAACCTCCGACTCGTGGAATCGCACATAGGCTGCAATCGCAACCAATCTGGTGGAGATCATTGACTTCCGTTAAAAATTGAAAACAGTGTACCGATCCCTACGTCATATTCATACTGGTACCGAGCAGGTCTGTACGAAAACATAAGCGGTAAATGCGTCCATGACCTTGGGGGAAGTTGCGTGCAAATCGCTCACTTGTGCACTCGTAGCTTTTTAACTGCGGTTCAGCGACATTTTGTCGCACACTTTTGGATCCATACTTATTCGTCGTGCTTTTACAAGCTCTACTTTGTGATACCAGTTTTCCGAGTATACTTCAGTGCATCCTACATTTACCCTGATTTCTAACTTCCGAGCAGTGTTTCGCCGATATCCAAGCGCCGAAAGGTTCCTAACTCCAACCATAGGAGACATTGTTTGGTCTCACTCGATAGACCACTTCAACTGCATTCGAACGAACTGTCATTCGTTTAAATCCAACATTGATTGGTGCAGCTACAGGTCTCAAAGCAAATTCACCTTGCGCGAAAATTCTCAATCACACCGTGTGTTCTGCCCCACGTTCAAGCTGACACATTCGACTGGCAAGTCAGAGAGGACAGTCTGCAAGCACACAACTGCAACGTGAACATTGTGACCTTACTGACAACGTCAATAACAGAACGACTTTTACCAGAGGGGGTAAGTCATTCAAATGGTTCGTAACATTTGCTCAACAAGCGTGATGCCCAGTGTGAAACAGACTAAAGACCAATTTGGAGAATGTACCAAACTTGTTAAGGGGGGCATTTTGTGCCGTAACCGTTACAAGTTCTTCCATGCGAGATGCCTCAGACTTAAACCTAGTCAGGCCAAGTTATTAAACAAACCAGACTCGCTATGGTTCTGTGTGGAATGCACATCGATCCCACTGATAAAAAGCGTGCTCCTATTATCTCAGAAGTATGATCAGCTATTATCCAAGATTGAGGAAATGGTGACCACCAAAATCACTACGGTTGGGGTAAGCATAGCAGACTGTGCAACCCAATCCTCCCCTGTAAGTGCTGCTCCTAACCCGCGAAGAACTGCTAATAACACCGTAAGCAACACGACACCTAGAGTCCAGAACATCAACAGCTGTCCCAATACCACAAGTAGCTCACATTTGACTAAAGCGGTTCCCAGTTCCATAAGGCTACTTCCAAACTCCCGACGGAGTGCGTAGAAAAAGAGTAAGCCGGTACTAGCGAGAGTTGGGTTACGGTTGCCTTCAAGAAGAGCCATCATTTAAAATTAACATCACCCCCAACTATATCGGAAACTGCGGAGCGTAGCGAAGTTTTCCTAGTACAAGCACCACCGGTTTCCTGCGGTACATCTCCGAGTACCTCAATCACTAACCGCGACATGTAGAAAGGTGTAAAGGAAGAACTACCTGTACTGAGCGTACTGTGCTCCAATATCCCAGAATCAAAGTCGACATCGGTAAGAGGCAGGCAGTTGGATGACGTCAACCAGTGGGACATTATTAGTAACCTAATCGGGGTTGTACTGAAACCTGTACACGTAATGCGTATTACACGACACGCCAACTCTAAACATTTCGGAGAGCCAAGACTTCGGCGTGTTGTGCTGAACTCCATCACTGAAGTAGGATCAGTACTACTGTCGACAGGTAGTCTCAGAAATGAACACTGCTCCATCCGTATCTTTCCAGACATCTCATGGCGCGAGCATTATCGAGTTAACCGCACCTTTGAGGACTACCGGAAGGAAACTTCAACCAGAACCATACTTCTTCACGGGGTTCCTGAAACTGAAGCAGGTGATGAGCATGAAGTAACAATCCATAATAAAGAACAGTGGTGTTATATTCGTGAAACAGTCTGCTTGGATGATGTGTTAGCGAAAGTCGTGTCCCGACTGAGTACCTCACCGAACTACAAAGGAAGTGGCCCGATAGTGTTGAAGGTGGTCCTTCAGTCAAAACATATGGTAGCACGGATGCTAAAAAGCTGGTACATGTTCCGTTGCAGCCTACCATCTGAGGTTCGGCTAAAGACAATCATCGATATGCCTCCCAGAGATGATATGTCATTCAAAGAACCAAAGGCGATGGGATCTATGAAAGAACAATGCACCAGTAGTGTGCCGAGTGAGTCAGTGAGTGATATTGACCAGATACCTCACACGGTACGTCGAAGATTAGACACAGGACTAACTATATGGACGGTGAATAAGACCTTAAACCCTTCACCAAGTACACATCGAAAAAACGATTAGTCGCCGGCCACTCACTGGTCGGCGAAACTTCACGTATGAGTTGTACAACCTCCGAAACATTGCTTAAATCTGAGAAACTTATGTATGTACACCAACGTCCAAGGGTTCCTCAGTAAAATTAACGAACTTCGATTACGTCAGGTTGCGAATGCTTGGGACCTAATTTCTATTACCGAAACTTGGTTACACCAAGAGGTGACTGACGCCGAGGTTGAGATAGCCTGAATATCATTCATCCGGAGCGACCGTCCCAGCAGAGGAGGTGCGGTCCTACTCTACTACCGCAGCGATCTACAATGTACAATAGTTGATGATTTGAAAACACACGTTACCGACTCACTCTGGTGCCGTCTCCGACTAAGACACAAAGACGCATGTCTCGTAGCAGTCGTTTACCGCCCCCCAACGTCCACTCCGGAAATGGATTGCCAAATGGTCCGTGGCCTGAACAGAGTAATACGCACTAGGTACAGCCACATTCTCATATCCGGGGACTTCAATCTAGACAATATGGAGGTTCTGGCATCACCCAGTGAGCAGTTCAAAGCAGACATGAACTGATCGCTAATATTCCCTTGCACAATCATGTCACCAAGCCCACTAGATTCAGGACAGCAAACAAACCGTCCATATTGGACCTTGTGCTCACAAATGAAGAGCTCATGGTTGACAAGTTATTGGTGGATAGTCCATTAGGTCTCAGTGACCATGTAGTAATAACGTTTAACTATGTGTGTTATGCAGAGTATCCATCTGAACACTCGGAACTAACGCATACAATCACACGCTACCACGTATTGAAAGAACTCGTCGACGCAGCTGCTTGGGAATTCTCAAACAACAGTCCGCTTGACAACGTTTGAGCAGAGTTCGTTAATAGACTCAGCGACATCTTCAACAATGCATCAAAGACCAAACACCATCGTCCCGCGAAAATGCCTTCAATTATAAGGAGGAGGACTCGAAAATGCCTAGCGATAAGGGATGCAGCATGGCGTGCCTACAAGATTAACCCCGACTCAGAGACTTGGGGCAATTTCCTGACCCATCTCAACCTTTGCACTGCACTTGTCCGTGAGGAAAAAGTAACATATCAACAGTGCCTAACCAAAAAATTCATGGCAAACAACAAACTGTTATGTAGGCATGTCAATAAGCTTCATAAAGTGAAGCATGGGATCCCTCCACTCTTCACGACAGGCGGTAGAGTACAAAGCACCGAAGAAGCAGCTAATGCCCTGCGGCTACAATACGCCCCAATTTTCGAACTGGCAACCTCTAACTGTCCCATAATGTCATGCACATTACCGACACCACTGTTTACACATGTAATTTTCAACCCATCAACTGTGCTAAGGA